GCGGAAAATATTCAAATACACAGACTACCGCGTGCGAAAGCCCATTTTGAAAAAACTATCTCCGTCAACCTTATATCTACATATGTGCATTAATTTGCAAGCAAATATCAGCAAGTAGTGCGTGCAAAGGGACAAGTACGAACGTATGTATATGGATTGCTAAAATCACACCAACTATTTGCTTTGAAGACTATACAATTTCATACTCAATGAACCGTTGTTAGCTTTTACTGAATTTATGTGCACTCTTTTCTTACTTATTTACCAACATACTATTTTTAATAAAAATAAATAAAATGGCGCTTCACGCATTTCGCTAAATGCTTGACCTAGTTGAAGGCGCATTGATGTTGTCGCACGAAGAGAGCGACCAGAAGTTTTACTCCGTCCTCGAAAGGGAGATGGATTTTTTATGAGAAGCGATTTCATGGCAGAAATACACACGGAGGTTTGTCTTTGCCTACGGAGGGCCACCAATTTGAGAAACCAACATTTTTCGATGTTTTCTGAACGAGAGATCTTACCTGGGTCTTACCGAGTCGTAAGTATCTACTCACCACTAACTCCTTGTCTATTGCGGCCGCAATAATTTAACTGATGAAATATTAAACAGCAAATCTTTATCCAATTCGGAGACCTACAAGTAAATAAACCCTACGGGAGTACAAGGAGATCCAAGAGAACCGCATTGAGCGACTTCTGCAACCGGTTGAAATCTAACTCACAGGGAGTCATACACCCAGGATGTCTACAAAGATGGCTGCGAAATTTCTATATCTGCTTCCAATAAAGGAAGTATTAGCTCTATTATGGTGTTCGTTGCTAAAGCGGGGAAGACGTCCCACACCAATCCGAAATATTTCCAGCCCATCACTCGTCTTTTCAACTGAAGATTATGGAGATGTATAGAGGTCCATACCAGAGAGTCGGTTATGGATGGACTCTAAACCACGCAAACGGCGCCACCTAAAATAGTGTCACACCTACATATGTACATAGAAAGATCATTAGCCAGTAAATCAAATGCTGTGATGCAGGTTAGTTCGGGCGGAGCTTTCGGGAGTTGCGTTGACCAGATTCGAAGGAAGGGGCACACCGCTAGAGGGAGTCCTTTCCCCTTTGTCGGGAATCGTAGCGGTAAACACGCAGAGTCAACCCAAGCAAAACAGAAAGTAGAAGATTTAGCTATTCTCACATTTAATAAAGCGAACATCCTAGCTAGAGCAAGCAGAGAATCTTGCATCGAAAGAGTTTCGAGTTACACGGACGGACAATTGGGAATATAACTGCATTTACGTCTACCTGATCATTGTAGTGTTTTTCAAGCCGAATTGGCGGTCATATAAGAAGCCGTTGACAGCCTAAAATTTGCTCAACGTGATGGCAGAGCATACCGCTTTGTACGCTTTACTCCTGGTAGCATACTAGGAAACGTGAAGACAGACGAGCCTTAGACAGACGAGTTCGTAGACTCCACGAACTGGTTTAAGGAGTAGAGGTTTTAGATCCACGTGTTATTAAATTTAGACACACATACCGTCACCTAGGTACTTAAAAGATTGGCGTATGTTATTTTCGGCAAGTTTCGAGAAATCCCGATTAAAGTTTGGAATCCAATTTCTCAAAAAACGCGACGATAGATTACCATCAAAGCCTCGGAGAATGTTTACTATTAAGTTCACGAAATTCTTAAATTATTTTATTTTTATTGCTTATTGCCATTGTTTATGCAGGATTTTCTATAGTAAATTTTTGTCGCCTTCTGTCAACAATTTTGAAGCCACTTTTTATGCCAAAATGTGATAACAAGTTTTACTAAATTAACGATACTTTTTAGTCACACACTAAAGGAGATTTTCAAAAATGCATAACGGCATTCGGAATATCTTAACTGTTTTAGTATTATTAACTCAATTTGTACTAAATTGACGACAAAATTTTATTTAAAACTGATAAAACCAATCGAAAGACGTTATTTTAAAATATATAACTTCATCTATTACTAAAAATCGTGAAAATGGCGCTTACGACAACCTTTTATCCATGCGGCGATACGTCAACCGAATTTAAAAACACAACGTATGTGAGCTTCTTCATATATTTTTATGTGCTTCAATATATATTAGGGACGTTAATCCCGGGGTCCCGGGATCCCGGACTTTTTTAAGTCACGAAAATCCCGGTATTATTTGCCAAGAATCCCGGGATTTTCGGGATTTGTAATTTGCGATGGTGGCAATAATAGAATGCCTTATGTTGACCAGTTTTCGCTATATTTTTGTTTTTTTAATATTTTTTTATATATTTCTAGCTACATACACATAACACTGCGCAAAGCCATGGGCCATTGCGATTTTAGATTTCTCTCTGACGTCAGGATTTTTTAAAAGGACTTTGAAAATTGAATAATATGAGTAACTCAGAAAATGATTTAAAAAATTTAGTGCAATGTACTTAGTATGGGTATCAAATTAAAGAGAATATTCTGTAGAGAAAAAAACAGATTACATTTTTTGGTGCATAAGGTATTGAAGATGTCCTTAATAATTGTATCCTTGAATATCCTTGAAATTTTGCAATATTTATTTTGAAAAAATTATATGATAACTCGACAACGTCCCCAATATGGTCCCTCTAACTTTATTAGCTTTAAAAAAATAAAATTAATTAAAAGGGCATTTCCATACCTCTTCGTCCCTGTGAATCAAAAAATTTTAATTTTTTTAAATCCCACAGAATTTTCTTTTTTATTTGGTACCCATTTTTATTCTACATTACACTGAGCTTTTTAGAATTTATCATATCTTTGAAATTATAAAGTTCTAATAAAAAAAATTATAAAACTAAAAACGCAGTTTTACTATATTTGGCCCATAGCGCCCTGAGTATATTGATTGCTTGGTGTATTTTGAAATTTTTTTGTTTCAAACTATTTCAACCAATTTACTCAGAATTTTTAGAAAAATTTTAGGTACGCCATTTTACAAGTATAGCCCATTAAATAACAGGAGGACAAAGTGCAAGTTTCAAGTGACTAAAAGTAACGTTGATTTTTTATAATTTTTTTGCTGGCGGTGTCACGCATTTTCTTCCATACAAAGGATGTTCGACAATTTATTTATATGGGAAAAAATGCCCAGCATCGTTTAAAAAATTCCCAAAAATCAACGGTATTTTGTAACTGCATGAAACTTGCATTTTATTCTACATTAATTTAATGGGCTATAAAACTGCGTACCTCGAATTTTTCTGAAAATTTTGAGTAAAAAGTTTGAAACTTTGGCAAATTTTTTTTGCATTTTTATAATTTTTGTACACATTTTGGAATGCGCATTCAAATGCAGTTAATTATATATAAAATGAGGTAGACATTTATAAAAAAAAATATTAAATAAAAAAAATAAATATAGACTAAACTGGTTGAAATAAGGCGTTTCTTTTATTTCTGCTACTAGTATTATGAACTTCTTTCAGCCACACGAAAAAATTAACATCCCTAATATGTGAAAGTGAAATTAGTGGAGAACGTAAACCTGGTCGCACGTAAACCCGAATCAGCTGGCACGATCTATCTTACCAGAGCGCCATGTAAATGAAAACTCAACAACGCAGACTAATAATCTTCGGCATCGACATTTCCAAGTCAATTAAAAAAAAATATATATATATAGGAAAATACCAAATAAACCATAAAATCATAAATACCTTCATCTATATATTCCATGACACTTAAACAATTGATTAGAGTTAAAAAAGAAACTCTTGCTTTAATAGGTTCAGCGGAAAAGGCAACTAAACTGATTAGTCGGTATCGCGCAGGGAAACTTGCAGGGAAAGCTACTAGTTGTGAACTAGAATTCTACCAGTTTGCGTTTCAGCTCAACTAGTTGACGTTCTATCCTTTTTCAATGTTAGCGACTGGTATTTTTAACAGTGCGATGTCCTACGAGATGTCAATTGTCAGGCTATGCATCAGCATCTACTAGTAGCATCATACCAGTTGATGAGATAGTCTGCCAATTCATCCCCCATGAAAAGCATTAGTATGCCTTTTTGCTCGCGGCGCTCCAACAGTCGCAATGTCCGACAAAGCAAAGCACTCGCGTGGTATTCCTGAGGTACCAGGTTCAAGCCCTGGCGCAGGGAAAATTTGTTTATTTTATTTTTTTTTTATAATATTTCTTTTATTTATATTTTTTATTTAGGGTTTTTTATTCTTAAATTTAATTTTTTCTTTTCTTTTTTTGTTTCTTTTTTTTGTAATGCAACTAGAGTTTTAAGTCTGTTATTTATATTTAAATTGAAATAATTATTCCTACTTACATTGATCTAACTTTAAAAATCTTAACCACCTCCAAGCGGCCTCGAAGCTGCGATCCCAGAACCAGAACCAGTAGTCTGCACGTGACGTCACAGCCGACATTTGTGAGAAAAGCAATTAATGGCATTTTATTTTAGGCTTTGGCAATTCAAAGGCAGATGTCGCTGTACGCTTAAGTTCTTCGAAAATGACGAACTGGTAGGCACATACTAGTTTATGAACTATGTAGTATTTTTTCTAACTGGTTTGGGTTTTCACTGCAGGATTTTTATCAACTGTCACCATGACTTTTTTCAAACTACCGCCATATACATAGTCGAAACACTGTGCGGGCTATAACTACAGAAGAATTCTGCGCTGTTGAGTAAGCGCTCTGCTAAGATATACACGAAATTACGTGCCAGCGGGTTTACGTTCTCCAATAATTACACCTTTAAACCTGCATGTGCTTGTGTGCCGCGGCCTTAATAATGAAAGCGGCTAACGTATGCATTTGCTATAGAACTTAACTTTGAAAAACAAAATGCCTTCAGATGCAGACCTTTATTGTATGTAAGTATGTATACATATGCATGAGTTTTATGCAATAACTTTCAGTTCAGTGCTTTATTGAATAACATTTTTTTTCAAAATTTAGTCTCGTATCTACCGTTCCGAGACGCGTGCACAATCAAACACCATGTCGAACTTGATCGCCAGTGTGTACAATTTTCTAACCGCGCCAGGCACCTTGTACGGTATGTAACCGATAGCTTATTCATATTTATGTACATCCTTATACGAAATACTTTTAAGCCCAGATTTCAATTAATCTTCCTTTTAGGTAATCGCTTTCTGCCTTTCCATGGCGCCCTACTGCCATATCTACTTGCCGATATTTTGTATGTGCTGCTGGTATTCAAGATCGGTCCGTGGTACATGAAAAATCGTCCACCATACAAGCTTCAAAATGTGATGCGATACTATAATATAGGACAAATCATTTATAATGCTTATTTCTCCTACGTGGTAAGATTTAGTTATACATTTTTTATAGTTTTCGAAAATGAATAGCTTCAAATTGACTGTTGGCACTCTTCATCACATAGGCCTTTTACTTGTATGTTTATAAACGTCCAACGCCCATCACGTGTATAACCATATTACCCACAAATCATCCCCTCAAGGACATCGAAGGCATCATTGGCGCGCTCTATGTTGTTAATAAATTTACAGATTACTTTGATACAATAGTTTTTGTACTCCGCAAGAGTTACAAACAAATCACCTTCCTGCATGTTTATCATCACATCATGATGACAACTTTGAGTTTGCTGTTTATAAGGTATACTGGCGGTGGTGGGCATGCATCCATGGTTGGTATTCTGAACACCTGCGTGCATGTATTCATGTATACATACTACCTGATGAGTGCGACGAGACCGGAAATGAAGAAATCACTTTGGTGGAAGAAATATGTGACCAGACTGCAGCTTGTACAATTCGTCCTGATACTCGTACATCAGCTGTGGCCATTGGTGATTCAACGGGATTGCGAGTATCCAAAGTTGCTTTGCTTGTGTACGAGCCTGCAAGCCATCCTGATGCTTTATTTATTTGGTAGTTTTTACATTAAAACATATATACGAAGACCTGAAGAGAAAGTACGCTAAATTAGTTTTAAATTTATTGCATTTAATTGTTACGAGTACTACTTGCATAAAATCAAAAAAAAGTCATAGAAATCGTTTACCTGAATTCTCCTTAGGAACTGACAAACAGAAAAATGTGTATATTCAAAATTAAATAAACGATGATTTTACTTTCAAAGTATTACCAGAAAAGTCAAGAAACAATTTGATTTTCAAACCGAAGAATAACACAGAGTGTATAATGCTGGGCAGCTACAGCACAAAACAAAAATTATAAAAATTCGACAAATTTTCAAACTATTTTCAGAATTTTGTGGCATGCAGTTTTGTAGCCCATTCAATTTAAGTATAATAAAATGCAAGTTTCAATTGGCTACAAAGTACCATTGATTTTTAGGAATTTTTTCGCTAATGGGTTCACGCATTTTTTCCCATACAAAGTGTGCTCCACAATTTTTTTATATGGAAGAGAATGCCTAGCATCGTTCAACAAAAAAATTTCAAAAATCAACAGTATTTTCTAGCCGTTTGATGCTTGCACTTTATTATACTAAAATTGAATGGGGTACAAAACTGCATACTAAAAATTCTGAATAAAAATTCTGAATAAAAAGTTTACAAATTTGGTGGAACTTTGTCGAATTTTTGTAATTTTTGTATAAAGTTTGAAAAGGGGATTTACGTTGTTTGTTGTATAAGTAGCCAGGCTTTTATAAAAAAATATTAAACATGAAATAAACCAAATTAAGGCGAGTCTATTATTTCTGCCGCCTCTGTATATAGAAATGGGTTTGTAAAACGGGGCGTGGCACATCCCATAGGCTTGGAAATTTTTATCAGCTATAACTTCAAAACCATAAGCCACATGAAATTGAAATTTGGTATGCAGACATATCTACGGTAGGTGCTTTTAGTAATATATATATGAGTTTGGAAAAAGGGCGTGGCACATCCCACAGGCGTGGACTTTTTATCTACTATAACTTCGGAACCATAAGTCACATCAGATTGAATATATATGGTAAGTGCTTATAGCAGGGTATATAATAATGAGTTTATAAAAGCTGGCGTGGCACATCCCATGGGTGTGAAATTTTGTATCAACTACAGCTTCGGAACCATAATTCACAAGAATATGAACTTTGGTATGAATACATATTCTTGGTAGGTGCTTATAGTAAAGTTTGTATATATGATTTTGTAAAAGGAAACATGCAGCATAGGCGTGGAACTTTTAATCAGCCATAAATCGGGAACCGTAAGTAACATGAACTTGAAATTTGGTATGCAGACATATGTATATGTATATGGGAGGTGTTTAGATTAAAGTTTATATAAATGAGTTTGTAAAAGGGGAATAAATATGTATTCATCTATTATTTGACTCGAATATTTAAAACTCGGTTTCTTTAACCTTACAGTCTTTAGGCTATTTCGATATGGAAGGATTAAATAGTTTCTTTGATCCCGCGATGCTTCGAACGAAAAATGTTCATTCATAATGAATAAAACTCCTTCCGAATTAAGCATTCTACCGGAAAAGTGCAGCTATACTAAGACAGCTAAGAGCATAGGCAGCTAAACGGAATGTACCGTATTAGACTAATTTTAATTTAAAAATTCTATCTATTAATAATAAAACAAGATTTGTAGTTCAGAAAATGATGACAAATATAAAGTAGTTGAAGCACGATAAAGCTAAAAGTTCGGTTCATAAGGATGCCTTAATTTAAAAAAAAAAAAAAATAGTTTTTTTCCTTTAATTTTTGCTGAACTGTATATTTGTACTACTGTTTTTATACCCGAGCGCACTTGTGCCCAAGGGTATTATAACTTTGTTCACATAACGGTTGTTTGTAACAGGCAAAACGAATCGAGATAGATATAGACAAATGTATACATAAATGATCAGGATTAAAAGAGAAGTCGATTAAGCGGTGACTGTCTGTCCGTCCGTCCGTCCGTCCGTCTGTGCACACGATAACGCGAGTAAAAATTGAGATATCTTAACGAAACTTGGTATGTGCACTTCTTTCGGGTGTAGGACGGATGGTATTGAAAATGGGCAAAATCGGACAATAACCACGCCTACCTCCCATATAACGGTAATTTTCCGAAATACGAAAACTGCGATATTTTAGTAACTACTGAAGATTATTCACTCAAAATTGATATTTACACTAAGTTTTAGACGAAAAATAAGAATATTATAAATTTTTGGAAAATGGGCGTAGCCACGCCCACTTATGGTTACATGGGTATAATTTGGTAACCGCTGCACTAATTTATTCTTAAACTTGGCACAGTTGTTAACCTTGGTATAACATACGAAATGGCCAAAAATTTAAAAAATCGGACAATAACCACGCCCACATCCCATATAACGGTAATTTAGAGAAATACGAAATCTTCGATAAATCAGTAATTATTGAAGCTAATTTATTCAAAATTGATGCTTGTAACAATTCTTTACCAAGATATACGTTTAGGATAAAATTTTGAAAAATGGGCGTGGCACCGCCCACTTATGATCACATATATGTACCTCGGTAACCGTTCTACCAATTTGTACCAAACTCGGTGTGGTTCCTATGCCTGCCACATAGAAGCAAAACGTTGAAAATTATTGAAATCGAACTAAAATTATGGCCGCTTTTCATATAACAGTAAATTTCAGAAATGCTTGAAACTTCAATATTTCGAAATTTAAGGACGCTAATTTACTCAAAATGGATACACCCCGGTTTACCATGTAGCGGTAGCTTTCGGAAAGGTGAAAAACATATATTTAATACTTGCGCCGGGTATTTAATGTTTGGCTCCGCCCGAACTTAGACTTTCTTACTTGTTTATATTTTGATTTGTTTACCCCGAACGATGTCGGGTGCTCTGCTAGTCTACATGTCGTCGGTGTTTTTGCAAAACTGCCCATCGACCAATTGCAAAACCGCATACGGCACTCAAATTTTACAGGAGAGCGAAAAAACGGTTTTTCTTTGAAGGCATTGCTTTGATAGGCGGCATTTTCTCTAGCTATTATTTTACAAATCTGTTGTTTTAATAACGATTTAAGATCTCGATGCCTGGAGTTCAGGGTTACCAAATATCATTTTTGCCACAACGGCGATTTAGGTGGTTTTGCAAAAACATCGACGATATGTATGACGGCAACCGTCGAACCACGCATCGAACTGGGCCCTACCGAGTGATTGGACAGAACTTCGACCACTCACCTACGGCGGCGGGCGAATATAGTTCAATGAACCTGCATACATATGTATGTACACATCGATTGTTCTCTGAAATAACGCCACAACTCAAAATTTCATGTTTTTGAGCTATATAGCGGATTGGGTTAATAAATAGCCATATATTTTTCTGTGCAAATGCGTACTTGTTACGAATCCGACAGGTGGCGAAATTGTGTTATTTTTCAGAAAATCGAAGTAGGCAACCTTTACTACTTGACAGTGGAACATGTCTCACATTTATTGTGAAAACTACAGTTCGGACCGATTCCATTTTTTTTTCAGGTACCGATGCCGATTAATCGGCTTATGGGGAAAGAATCGCCAGATGTCGAAGCCAATAAATGTATTAATTCATAAAATCAGTTAATTTAACGGGGTTAACGAAACAAAAGAAAAGAAATAATTGAATTATTTGGCTTGTTATGAACATTACATAAACATGTATGTACATTAGACTGCATCACCAAAAAAAGTTGCGGTTTGTACGCCCGGACTACAAAATTTATTATATTTTAAGACGTCCACCAAAATTTTTTGGAAAAATATTAAGCTGGACCGATTTGAAAATGGAGTTTTTTATGAATAAAAATAGTTTCTTAAAGAACTTTTTGAAAAAAGTCCGCTCAGATGACTGGACAGATTAGGCTTAAAAAATCTGCATAAAAATATTTAAAAATCTTTTCAACGGAATCGTAATAATGAGTCTTTTGATGCTGTTTTTTTATTTTTTCTAAGATTGATTTACGAAAAACGTAAATAGTATTTTCCCACTATATTTATGTGCAAAAAAAAGTCATTCGTGTCCCAATTTTTTTTTTGCGTCAAATACCAACACATCTTAATTCAACTTTGAATAATGTTCGCTCATCCTACCTTTCTCTTTCATCATTTGAATGAGTTTAGTAGCAAAGAAATAAATATGGTGAGAAAATATCTTTCCAATGATATCTCACAAGTCTAAATCGGAAGAGTTTAGGTTCAGTTATTCAAGTTTTTCTTATACCAATCTTTGAAAAAAGTTAAAAAACAGCATTAAAAATCTCATCATTACGATTCCGTTTAAATTTTTTTTTAATTTTTTTTAATATTTTTATGTAAATTTTTTAAGCTTAAACCGTTTTGTCATTTGAGGGGATTTTTTCAAAAAATATCTTTAAGAAACTATTTTTATTCATAAAAAAACTCCATTTTTGGAGGTATTTTCAAATCTTAATATTTTTATGAAATATTTTGGTGGACGTCTTAAAATATAATAGATTTTATAATTCCAATGGAAAAACAGTACCAATTTTTTTTTTTTTTTTGTATGAGGAGTGATGATGATGATGACATACATATGTATGTACATTAAAAAATATATGTACATATATAACATTTATGTACATTACATAAAAAAATGTTTAATATGGTGCTAAGCAAGAAATTTTTAGGAACATAAAATTTAATTTCGTTTTGTACTATTTTCCACTCAATGCAAAAGAACTTATATGCTAGGTATGTATGTATGTATGTACCTACATACATATAGTGGTCCACAAAATAAAACAATTGCAATATTTTGACCAGTTTGGGCATTTGGCATTTGTTTTTTTGCTTATTTACTGTTCATTATTTTCTTTATAAAAGTCTAGCTAGTATACAACAAACACCATCTTGCCGATTTTGAACAGAAACTCCCTTTCCTCCTATTAAGAATAAAAATTCACTGAGGATTTTTTATATTAAATGGCGGAGTGGAGCTGTCAAAAAATTCGAAGTTCGAATTCCCGCCTCCAAAATTTTTGGGCAAAATGCTACCCCCTGCGAGTTAATTATTGGAGGATTTCCCGGAGAACGAACTCCCCGGTAGGTAGAGTCTGCATATAAATTCAGATTTCAAACTTTGTACAAAAATTAGAAAAATTCTGCTTATTTTCACCAAAATTTGAAACTGTTTAATCAGAATTTTGGTATGCAGTTTTGTAGACCATTTAATTTTAGTATAATGCAGTGCAAGTTTCCAGCTGCTATAAAATCATGTTAATTTTTGGCAATTTTTTTTGTGCTGGCACAGTGTTCTCCATATAAAAGAAAATTTTCGAACATACTTTTGTATGAAAAAAACATGAAACACATTCAACAAAAAAAAAATTAATTTGTGAGCTGTCTGCAAATGTTTTTTGATGTTAGCTGTCGCTTCACCTGAACATATGAAAAGAAATTCCAAAGAATCGGCAAAAAAAGGCCAATGCCGATGCCGATACCGATTAATCGGTCGGACTCTAGTGAAAATCGTCGATAGGTTAGAAATGCTTTTACAGAATGGCTGCAAATAATCCACAGTAATTACGTACGGCCCTACTGAAAAACATGAAACTTGGAGTTGTCTCGTTATTGCAGAGGACCATCGATATGTGCAATACATTTACATAATTGAACCTTTGTACTACAAATTTATGAATTGACTTTCTAACAATTAAACAAGTTTAATCGAAAAAAATACTTTTTTTTTTTTGCGGAAAAACTGAATAAATTTAGACAGACATTTGAACTGCATTAAAAATCAACGAACAAATATTAACAATCTCATACAAAGTAGGCATAAAATGTTGCGCGCCAGTAAACTTACAAGCGGAAGTGTGAACCAGTACTGTCTGGGAACTCATTCAGTAAACATTTGACTAGTTGGAGGCCGGCAAAATGTCGAATCTTTTGCAATATACCTACGACTTGCTCACAAGTCCGAGTCCCAGCAAAGATGGTAGGACTATTAAATATACATACATATATTTGTATCCTCTATACCTAAATACTTTTGTTTATAAATTATGAAATGATTGATTTGATTTCAAATTTCTTTTTCGAAGGCTATGAATATTTACCCTACCATGGCGCCCTCTGGGTAGGCATACTAATCGAAGTTTTCTACATGGCATTTGTCTTCAAAATTGGACCGTGGCTTATGAGGAATCGAGAGCCGTTTAACTTGACGACGGTGCTGGCATATTACAATATAATACAGATAGTTTTCAATTCCTTTATGGCTATTTTAGTAAGTGCATAGTTTACTAAGTATTTATGTATATTTATGACTACGAAACCAAAAAAATATGTACCTAAATCGGAGCAAACGCCCATTAATATCGCTGCGATTTCACACTTTCAGGCTATATACTTGTATATTTACAAATATGTTGTACCCTTTAGTTGTATGACAGTGCTGCCTTGGGAACATCCACTCAAGTGGATGGAGCTTATAACCGGCTACTGTTATTTCACCAATAAGTATCTCGATCTCTTCGATACAATATGCTTTGTGCTACGAAAAAGTTACAAACAAGTGACTTTCCTCCATGTTTACCATCATGTAATGATGACCGGGACAGGAATCGTGTATATGAGGAATATTGGTGCAGGTGGACATGTCGTCGTAACAGGCATCATGAACTCTATTGTGCATGTGATAATGTATGGCTATTATTTTGTGAGTGCCACCAGGCCGCATTTGAAAAATTCACTATGGTGGAAAAGGTATATTACACAAATCCAATTGGTGCAATTCATTTTGGCATTCATACATAATATGTGGCCACTGGCAATTGCTCCTGAGTGCAGTGTTCCGAAAATCTTTTGTGTCTTCTCTGTGATACAAGCCATAATAATGATATACCTATTTGGTAAATTCTATAAGAAAGCCTACTTGGATGTGAGAAAAAAAGTTGAAACGAGCAATAAGGTGAAGTGAACCGTCGTGGTACCTGGGAGTCGACTACAAAAAATTACTTTTATTAACTCTTTGGTTAGCATGCCTCTGCTCTACAGATGTATGTAAGTAATTGTTTTTGTATAAGCAAGTGAAAATGGTAATCTAATATAGGAGATTCTACAATGTAGACAATATAAATATACAGTACAAATGCACAAAAGAGTGTAAAAATCTATATCTGGAAATACAATCTATATGTACATATACTACACGAAGGCATTTTTTGTTCAGGATAAAAGATCTTCACCGTTCGCTCGGTTTTCAAAAATGGCATGTCAAATTAAAGCTGGTTAAAACTGGTTTATTTTTTTGAAAAGAGTTGCCACCTGTTGAACAATTAAATTGAAATTACGTAAAAATCAATGCCATCATATCCGCACCGTTCGTTCGATTTTCCAAAATGAGGTCTGTCAAATTAAAAGGCTTGGACTGTATGTACAATATGGTTTTACTTGTTTGAAAAGAGTTGCCACCTTTTAAAAAATTATATTCCAATTGTTAAAAAAATAAATCAATAATTACAAAATGGGTATCAACCGAAAAACCTTTGTTTCCTAGCTGAACTATAGGAGAGTTGCCACCTGTTTAAATAATCATATTAGGTAAGAAAAATATGTACCACCATATGGGTACCAAACGAAAGGAGTTTCAGAAAGTAGTAGTTAGAAAATATTTTAAAGATGTTTACAAAAATCGCATTTTTTATAAATAAAAAGTGATTAGTTTTTTGATTTGGCCGTTTTAAAAAGTTATATATAAAATGCTTTAAAAATATTTCTTTCCAAA